CGGCCGACTGGTCTTTTTACCACCCGCCCCTCCACCAGTTCCTAGACTCCCGTGACGTCCGGTTCGACGAGTCAGTGTCCTACTACACCCGGTACCCCTGTCGAGGTCTCCCGGTTCCCCTTCCCCCCCTTTTCCTCGCACCCTCTCTTCCCCCTGCTCCCGCTCCTCCGGTACCCCCACCCCCCCCTGGTCCTGCCCCGTCAGGTGTGTCTCACGCTACCCCTCTACCCTCGGTCGCGCGTCAGGTAGCAGCTCCCTCCCCGCAGTCCTCCTCACAGTCCCCTCAGCAGCCTTCGGTACTTCCGCGACAGGCTACTGTGGACTCAGTTGGTTTTGGAGCTGGAGGTGCAGCCACTGGCGGTACTCGGTCCGGGGGTGCTCGTTTGAGGGGTGCTGGAGTTGGAGGTGCTGGCGCAGGTGGCGCTAGCCCTGGGGGTGCTGGAGCTGGAGGTCCTGGCACTGGAGGTGCTAGTCCTGGGGGTGCTGGAGCTGGAGGTGCTGGCGCAGGTGGCGCTAGCTCTGGGGGTGCTGGAGCTGGAGGTGCTGGCACTGGAGGTGCTAGTTCTGGGGGTGCTGGAGTTGGAGGTCCTGGCACTTGCGGTACTAGTTCTGGGGGTGATGGAGCTGGAGGTGCTGGCACAGGAGGTGCTGGTCCTGGGGGTGCTGGTTCTGGGGGTGCTGGTGCTGGAGGCGCTGGCACTGGAGGTGCTGGTTCTGAGGAGACTGGAGCTGGAGGCACTGGTTCTGCGAAGTCCACTCCGCCTCCCCACCGCCATGACACACGTCTCCAGGCGGCCCGTCGGCGTGAGCGTGAGGAGCAGGTGCTGTTGGAGAGGGAGCGGCAGGAGTTGCGGCAGTTGGACCTGCTGGAGCAGCAGCAGCAGCAGCAGCAGCAGCAGCAGCAGCAGCAGCAGCAGCAGCAGCCGCAGCAGCAGCTCCCTCTGGAGCGGCAGTTGTTCCCACCCGTGAGTGGCCTTCGGGCCCTTGGTCTTCCCTCCTCTCCTCCTGTTCACACTCCGTCCCCTCCAGCGTTTGGTCCCACGTTTCCTCCTCCTGACGACAGTCCGGCGGTCTGGTCTTCTCCTCCACCGCAGTCTCCTCCACCTGTTGTCCCACACTCTCGTGTCCGTCCCTGTCCTCCGCGTGCTCGTCACTCGTCTCCCGTTACCGACCTCCGCACTGCCCTCCTTTGTTCGTCTCTTCGTCGTCCTCCTCCTGAGTCCGTTCTCCCGTCTCCGCCTCCGTCCTCTCTCCCTTTCCCCCCTACTCCTGTCACTGACTACTACCGCGCTGTTCGTCCTGTTGTCTCTCGTGTCCTCGCCACTCTTGTCACCGACTCTCGTTTCCCTCCGTCGTCTGTCTCGGCTCTCACTGCCGCTGTCGCTGAGTTTGCTGCCGCCAGTCACCTTGACTACACCACCCGTGTGGTGCCAGCTCCTCCCTCCCGTCCTCTGTCCGTCGGGGGTGGGTTTGCCCTTGGCTGTGACGTCCTAGAGGACAGAGAGTCTGAGCTGGAGTACTGGGCAGCCGCTTCCCCCTCTGTCTGTGCCATGCTGCTATCCCCTGAGGGAGACCCCGACGCCCTTGACATACCGACTCCTCGCACTTACCGCGAGGCAGTGTCAGGGGCGTGGGCCTCACAGTGGAAAGCGGCTATGGCCTCGGAGTTAGCGTCTTGGAGATCTACAGGCACGTACGTCGACGCAGTTCCCCCTCCCAGGGCGAACGTAGTCGATGGCATGTGGCTCTTCAAGGTGAAGCGGCCGCCTGGATCACCGCCTGTGTTCAAGGCGCGCTACGTGGCTAGGGGTTTCAGTCAGCGTGAGGGAGTTGACTTCTTCCAGACCTTCGCCCCGACCCCGAAGATGACTACTCTTCGGGTGTTACTGCAGGTAGTAGCACAGCGAGACTACGAGCTACACTCCCTTGACTTCTCTACTGCGTTTCTCCAGGGCCGACTACACGAGGAGATCTGGCTGCGCCGCCCTCCTGGCTTCACTGACACCTTCCCACCTGGGACCCAGTGGAGCCTGAGACGGCCAGTCTACGGTCTCCGCCAGTCGCCCCGTGAGTGGCACGACACTCTTCGCTCCACGCTTCGTGGCCTTGGGTTTTGTCCTTCCTCTGCCGACCCGTCGCTGTTTGTTCGCACTGGTTCCACTCCTTTCTTTATACTAGTGTACGTCGACGACTTGGTCTTTGCCACAGCAGACAGGGCAGCTCTAGCTCAGGTGAAGTCCGAACTGGAGAAGAGACACACGTGCACTGACCTAGGTGAACTGCAGCGCTACCTTGGCCTGCAGATCACCAGGGACAGAGCCGCTCGCGCCATCACACTGACTCAGTCACACATGGTGCAGCAGGTCCTTCGGCGGTTCGACTTCCAGTTCTCCACCACACAGCCCACACCTCTTGCTGTTGACCACAGACTCACTGGCCCCTTTCCCGACGAGCCTTTTGAGTCCAGTGGTCCCTACGCAGAGCTGGTGGGCTGCCTCATGTACCTGATGACTTGTACTCGGCCGGACCTCGCCTTTCCCCTCAGCGTCCTCTCTCGCTTTGTTGCGACTGGGAGACACCGTCCTGTCCACTGGACAGCTGCTGTGAGGGTGGCGAAGTACCTGGCGACTACATCAGGCATGGGGCTTGTGCTTGGAGGGACTCAGCCAGTGGCGTTGACTGGTCACTGCGACTCTTCCTACGCTGACGACGTGGAGACTCAGCGCTCGACTCAGGGTTACTGCTTCAGTTTGGTTGCTGGTGCTGTGTCGTGGAGGTCTACACGGTCGTCGTCTGTGGCTACTTCCAGTGCAGAGGCAGAGATATACGCTGGTGCCATGGCGGCACAGGAGCTTCGCTGGTTGACCTTCTTGCTCGCCGACCTTGGTGAGCGGCCTCGCTCTGCACCGACCTTGTACGCTGACAACAAGGCCATGATCCTCCTGTGTCGAGAGCCTCGACTGGAGCGTGAAGCATATTGACGTGAGGTACTTCCTTCTGCGAGAGCTACAGCGACGCGGCCAGGCACGCCTGGACTTTGTGGCCTCAGAGGCCAACACTGCAGACGTCTTCACCAAGGCCCTGGCGCTTGGTGACCACCACAGGTTCTGTGTGCAGTTGGGGCTTGTTGAGGTAGGCCCTCGGTTGCTGTAGACTTGCTGTTTGCTCTGCTTGTTGTGCTTTGCTATATATATCCTAGTGAACTCTTGAACTGGCCTTGTGGCCGCTTGCTTGTGCTCGGAATTTGTGTGGTGTCCTTAAGATCCACCCTGAGCTTGCTTTGCTTCTTGCATTGACTGGTCTTGTGACCGTTTGTTCACCCTGCTTGCTTTGATGCCCCTCACTTAGCCTATGCGGGTGTGTCAAATGTTATTATAGGTTCTTAGGCTACAGTGAGTAGCACTCTAGGGAGTACAACACTTTTAGGGTTGCTATTTGTATCCCTTGTTTCCCTAGTTCACACATTCCGTTGTTCGCTAACTTTGAGACACAGGCTCAACTGTGCCCGGCATTCTGAAAACTTTGATTAGAGACCCATGAAACCTAGTTGCAAGTGTGGGTCTTGCAATTAGGACAAAAAATACCACCACACAAGCAGTATTCTAAACACATTACAACGTGCGGTGGTTAGCACTGCAAAACTATACTGCTGATATTACTTGCAATACAACTCAAACAACATCTGGAATGGAACGCAACCCTAAGGCATGTGCACGTAAGGCTTATTTCTAAGCTGAATCTCTGTTGAAGGAGAAATCCATTCCAAGTTAGCAGGTGCGAATGACACTCTCTTGTGCTTAGCAGGTGCGAATGACACTCTCTTGTGCTTAGCAGGTGCGAATGACACTCTCTTGTGCTTAGCAGGTGCGAATGACACTCTCTTGTGCTTAGCAGGTGCGAATGACACTCTCTTGTGCTTAGCAGGTGCGAATGACACTCTCTTGTGCTTAGCAGGTGCGAATGACACTCTCTTGTGCTTAGCAGGTGCGAATGACACTCTCTTGTGCTTAGCAGGTGCGAATGACACTCTCTTGTGCTTAGCAGGTGCGAATGACACTCTCTTGTGCTTAGCAGGTGCGAATGACACTCTCTTGTGCTTAGCAGGTGCGAATGACACTCTCTTGAGTATAGGCAACCCGCTAAGCACACTTGACAGAACGTGCGGGATCAGAGTTCCTGGTGAATGGTGAAACAAGGGGATGCCAAAGAGGAGGGGATGACAAAGAGGAAATGATGACAAAGAGGAAATGATGACTCATAAGTGCTACCTCTGACAGGTGGAGCCAGGAGCAGCAAGGGAAGTGGGGAGATAGTGCAGGCATGATGCTGAAGGAGAAAGACCAGTGAGTTCTGAGTCGACCCAAAAGTCACCTCATACTGATGAAAAAGTCACCATGAGCATGAGGTGACTTTTGGGTCAACCCAAAAGTCACCACATGCCAATCACTTACCACGAAAGACTTGCCAAGTACGGCGGAGAATTCCCAGAAGACACACCATACGGACTGCCTTGGCAGTTGTCCGTCCTGTAAAAGTAAATGTTCGGGCACTTCGGCGAGTCACCGATGCTGAAAACGGAATACATTGCAGAGAATTTGACAGTCACAGCAGCTGGAATCTGCGTGCATCCATTGAGGTTCCAGCGGAGGGTGTAGGGCCGGGAAGTATTGTCCTTGGCTGTCTGATTTGCGATGAGTGTGACGCTTTCGGCACCGACTGTGAAGTTTCCTCCTGTGAAAGAATGGCAAAAAGGAGGACATATTCAAGATATGCGTTCGCTTATTCATCCATAGTAATTCTCTAGCCACATCGCATCATTCCGCACACATTGCCTTGTGCCCTGCCAATCAGCCTTTCAGGCACACTGCTTTGCAACTTCGCTCTCATGAATCAAATGGAGCAAGTTGCCAAAAGAACCCTGTTCGAGAGTCACATAGAAACACTGCCATGACTGGGAAAGAGTTGGCACCGGCCAAGTCTAGCCCGACTTTACTTGGCGTTCAGTGGGATTGGCAGAGCGAAGAAAGGTGAAGCAGGGGGATGGAGAGCGGGGAGAGGAGCGAGTGGGCCGAGGTGGGGATGACAAAGGGTGGTGAGTGGGGAGAGGAGGGAGTGGGGCGAGCGGGGAGAGGAGAGAGTGGCGAGAGGAGAGAGTGGGGAGAGGAGAGAGTGGGGAGAGGAGAGAGTGGGGAGAGGAGAGAGTGGGGAGAGGAGAGAGTGGGGAGAGGAGAGAGTGGAGACTCACCCTCAACGCATTCGGTGGCGGTCATCCCAAAGCCTTGAGGGCACTCGCAGTAAGGCACCTGCCCCGGAATCCGGCCGTTGATCCAAAGCGACGGCTGAAACTCTCTGGTGTCCGTCTCAGGCACGGTCTTGCAGGTGGCTCCAGTGGGACAGGCGCCACAGGGCGAGGCTGAGGGGAGGGGTGGAGATGGGTGCAGTGCGGTCTGATTTCTGAGGCGCCTCAAACAGCAGTAAGGCACCTGCACCGCACTGTTGTCCGTCGCAGGCACGGTCTTGCAGGTGGCTCCAGTGGGACAGGCGCCACAGGGCGAGGCTGAGGGGTGGGGTGGAGATGGGTGCAGTGCGGTCTGTGAGTGCAGTTGCTCGTGCGGGTTTGAGGCTCCAGTGGGGCAGGCGCCACAGGGCGAGGCTGGAGAGCAGGGGATGCAAGGGACGATGAAGGGATGGGGCACGTGCAGCAGTAAGGCACCAGGAGCTTGCGGAATTCAGTGGCAGGCACGGTCTTTCAGTAAGGCGTCTGCACCACTGGAATTCCAGTGTCGGACGATGCGAGCAGCGGGAGGGTGTCTCAGGCACCGTCCTGCAGGTGGCTCCCGTGGGGCAGGCGCCACAGGGTGAGGCTGAGGGGTGGGGATGGGTGCAGTGCGGTGTGATGAATCTTTAGGCGCTCAACAATCAGTAAGCCACCTGCACCGACGGGTAGAATTTTGCAGGCACGGTCTTGCAGGTGGCTCCCGTGGGGCAGGCGCCACAGGGTGAGGCTGAGGGGTGGGGATGGGTGTAGTGCGGTATGTGAGTGCAATTCTGGTGGGGGGTTGAGGATCCCGAGGGGTAGGCGCCACAGGGTGAGGGTGGGGAAGGCAGCAAGCAGGGGAGATGCAAGGGATGGATGGAGAGAAGCAAGGCAAAGGGATAATTGAAGGAAAGGGGGGGGGGGGCGGTGAAATTATCATGTGTGAGGGGTGGGCAAGGGTGCTGTGCGGTATGTTAATGAGATTGCTGGAGGGGGGATTTGACTCCAGAGGAATGAGAGGGTAAGGAGGTAGGTAGGCCCACGGAAGCACAAGCGCATGATGTAGGCTCACTCCCTGGCCTCTCCTAGCCTGAGACTCTAGGCATGCACATGGTGGCATTTATGGTGCCCATGCGTCTTGACATAAGGAGGTAGGCCAACGGAAGCACAAGCGCATGATGTAGGCTCACTCTAGCAATGAAAGCCATGCTCACTCACCCCACTTGCAGTAGCGCCCTCCGTTCTGATCCACCTCGCAGGTGCCATCCGGCTCACAGCCCAACGCCGCACAGGCAGGATCTGCAGCAGCAGAGAGGAGAGAGGGAGGGCTGTGTGAAAGACTGAAGGAGGCTTTAAACGAAAGAAGGAACGCGCAAAAGTCGTCATAAGGACCACAGTATGCCATCAGGATACATGTCAATACATTTGCAAGGATGAGAGGATAAGACTTGCCACAAAAGAAAACATCGCTTTTGTCACACACCCAAAAAGATGACGCTGACCAAAGTAGCATCGCGATTCACAATTTACGCCCTTCAGAAACACGCTCTCAAAATCACATTTTTCCAAAGTCACGCTCATACGTGCCTCACCTGTGGACGCTGGTGGTGGTGTTTGGTCTCCATACACGGATTTTAGCATGCGACGGCGTGCCATGCGGTGAGTCATGCGATTCACCGTGTCGTCGACTTTCGCTGCCTTCATCATCTGAACTGCTGCAGAGGACAAGAGAGGATGTGCGAAGAAGTGAACAGAGAGCGGGGTATGAGAGATCAGAGAAGGAAGAGGAAAGAGAGGATTGAGCTGGAAGTAGAGGTTGAAAACAAGCGAGCAGGAAGGAGAGGTCAGGGAGATCAAGGAAACCCTTTGAAAGGCAAATTCGAGAGCTTAAAGAATCAAGGCAAGGCTGACTAACGATGTTCCTGCAATGACTCTTTTCTGAGGGAAGTCGACTGACCGCAGATGAGCGCAATGGCGAGCAGCAGGAGTCCGGCAGGAGAGGCGAGCATCGTCCTCATGGTGATGACGGCGGAGGGCCGCAAGAGAGGCGGCGAAAGTGTCGGGCGGAAAAAGGGGAGAGAGAAGTGGCGCAACAGGGTTCTCAAGGTTCCGAACCGTGCGGAATGTCGAAGAGTAACTCAAGGTTCCGACTCTATCAAATGCGGCTTTGGGTGGAATGAAGGACAGTCCATTGCAGGCGGAACGACGGCCTGTGCATATACTGCGAGGTGCGACTTTGAGCCAAGCACGGCAGCCGCTGCGCCATCTTAATCTTGGAGCGCGATTCGACGTGCTACAATAATGCAGCGCTTGGCTCTGGGTCAAATATAATGCAGTGCTCGGCTCTAGTGGAACGAATAATGGAGCGCTTTGGCACGAGTGTGTCAGAAAGACGAAATTATGGTTTGATGAGCACTAGTATGGGTTTGGCTCGAGTGAGCTGCGACCAAACGACCAATGTTGCGAATGCAATGTGTGCGACGGCAGTGATTGGCGGGGCGTTCAAGAGTCACCTGCTGATTGACTTGAGCGAATTGCAGGGCGAAATTATTGGAGGGGTGGTAATATAATGTACTATCGTTCACAAATCACAAATCAGTCGCACAATGCGGTTTCCTTTCTGGTTCGTCGCATCTCCGCTATCGGCTTTCAATCAGGAAAAGCAGCAGGAATATGCGACACTGGGAAGCTTTCACTAGAAGCTGCATCTCATTATGCTGTCGCAAAAAGAAATCAAATGTTTCAGCCGTTGAGCATCTAATCATTTATTGCAGAAGTTTCTCACAAATGTAATCAAGCCAACCTTCAGTCATGGTCCAATGGTACGATGGCTAACCACAATTGAATTTCCAGGACCTATCTTGAAGCACACAAAGACCTGTCATCTCTCACAGTAATCATTTACAAGGGAACATAAAATAGAGTCCTGAAGGTCTTGAGCATTTTTCTGATGTGATCATTTTTCTGACATAAAATAACGCTGGTATACCAGTTTCCTGATGTGATCTCACACACTGAAGGACTTGAGCATTTTTCTCAGCTTGGCTTCACCGGAAGCCCACTGCTTGTCGTTTGCACTGATCACCAGCAGCAGCACGGTGCTGCCCTTGGCCGTGGCAGACGCCAGATTGTAGGCACCTGAGCGTGCGTAGGGTGTTTCCATGTAGTACTCATAGTACTGTGATGAGGGGGGGAAGGGTGGGAAGGTAGGGGTTTACATGGAGAATGCTCTTAGTGGGGATAGGGTGTCTCCATGTAGTACTCGTAAGAGGGAAAGGAGGGGAGGGGGAGGGGAGGGGGAGGGATAGGCGGGAAAGGACGAGCGGGGGGGGGGGGGGAGAGAGAGGAGGTATATACGCAAGCCACAGGCGGTGAAGATTGGGAGGAAGTTTGGAAGCATTTTAGGGAGGTGGACAGAGGTTTTAGGCGGTTGAGCAAGGTAGGCAGTTAAGGGAAGGTTCAAAAGAAAGAGAATGGTGACGCGCGTGCGGTGAAATTTTCGGGAACAGGGGAGATTAGCGGAAGCGGTGAGTTGGTGACAAGTGTTCCGCCAAGAAGAGACGGGAGATTTATATCCTCTTTACAAGCAGCCTGAGGGTGCACAAGTCGTTTCCATGTATGTAGTACTCATAAGACTGTGGTGCGGAAGTGGGAGTTGGGAGGAAGTGAGAACAATTCTGGCTGCCCTCCTTGTGAATGCGTGTGTCCACCACCTCATCCGGGTCGTACGAGTCACCGTTCACGAATGGGCGGAGGGCCGCTATGATGCGCTCTGGTGTGCCGATCTCCTCTCAAGTTAGACAAACTTTATGAAGCAAGCCATTCTTACACACACACACAAACACACAAACACACACACACACACACACACACACACACACACACACACACACGGCACTTACAGTCTGCCCCCCCTCCTTGCGGATGTGCGTGTCAATAACCTCATCTGGGTCGTACGAGTCGCCCGTGACAAACGGGCCGAGCGCCACTATGATGCGCTCTGGTGTGCCAAAAGAATTTAACAGAGAGGCATATTAACAAACAGACAGACACACTCACCGTCTGGCCGCCCTCCTTGCGAATGCGCGTGTCAATAACCTCATCAGGGTCATACGAGTCGCCCGTCACAAACGGGCCGAGCGCCGCGATGATGCGCTCTGGGGTGCCGAGCTCCTCTCCAGTTAGACTAACTCTATGAAGCAACCAGTTTTTACACACACACAACACTTACAGTCTGGCCGCCCTCCTTGCGAATGCGCGTGTCCACCACCTCATCGGGGTCGTACGAGTCGCCAGTCACGAACGGGCCGAGCGCCGCTATGATGCGCTCTGGGGTGCCGATCTCCTCGATGGGCAGCTCGAGCTTGTTGGTCAGGCGCACCATGGGTGATGCCACCACCTGGAGTACAGCACGCAGCACAGCAACAACACAACACCGGGCGGGAATCAAAGAACCTGTGAACAACAAGCTGAACACAGAAAGCAGGCGTGCCGATCTCCTCGATGGGTAGCTCGAGCTTGTTGGTCAGCCGCCGCACCATGGGTGATGCCACGACCTGTAGGATGCATGGGGCGGGGGAGAGGAGAAACAACACCTTAGGAAACAAGCAGGCTGAAGTACAGAAAGAACACCATGATCACGTGAGTCTGTCTCCTTTATGGGCAGCTCGAGCTTGTTGGTCAGGCGCACCATGGGTGATGCCACCACCTGCAGCACAGAGAATGGTGATGGAACATGGTGATGGGACATGAGAATGGTGATCTCCTCGATGGGCAGCTCGAGCTTGTTGGTCAGGCGCACCATGGGTGATGCCACCACCTGCAGCACAGAGAATGGTGATGGAACATGGTGATGGGACATGAGAATGGTGATCTCCTCGATGGGCAGCTCGAGCTTGTTGGTCAGGCGCACCATGGGTGATGCCACCACCTGCAGCACAGAGAATGGTGATGGAACATGGTGATGGGACATGAGAATGGTGATCTCCTCGATGGGCAGCTCGAGCTTGTTGGTCAGGCGCACCATGGGTGATGCCACCACCTAGAACACGCATGGGCGCGGGAACGAGAGAGAACCAAACATGAGGCTCATGAGTAGGCTGAGGAGCGGGCAAGACACGATGATGAGACCCGCACCATGGGTGATGCCACCACCTGCAGGATGCATGGAGCGGGAACAAGGGAGAGCACCTTGATTACGCATAGGATGAATGGTTGTCCTTGTTGAGCATGGTTGACAGCATGGGCCACAGGATGAGCTACATCATTTCCAAGGCCCATACCTGCAGAGTGCCCTCGCGGGGGTCCTCGAACTTTCAATCCACTCAGCGTAAGAAAGGTGAGAGCCACGGGAAACAATAGCATGGGCGGAGTGACAAGGCCCACACCTGCAGCAAGCCCTCACGAGGGTCCTCGAACTTGACTTCAATCCACGGCTCCGCGCATTTGGGCTGGCAGTAGTTGCCCGAGAGGATGTTGGCGATGCGTGACTGGGTCCACGTGGGCGGGATGTTGAACGTGTAAGGGGACACGTTGCCTGGGAGGGAATGAAGGGATGATGGGAGTAAGGGGAATGCAGGGAATGGGAGGAGGGGACAGGCTCTATGGTAAGAAGGATGGCTCGAATTCCTCCCGTTTGAGGCGCCTCCAAACTCCTTTCCCTTCACACACGGCTTGGGCTGGCAGTAGTTGCCTGAGAGGATGTTGGCAATGCGCGACTGGGTCCACGTGGGCGGGATGTTGAACGTGTAAGGGGACACGTTGCCTGGAGGGGGGGGGGGTTGAAAATGGGGGGAAGGGGAGGCGGGCCAAGCAGGGGAGATGAGGTAGGAGGGATGTGCAACTGTGTCCACGTGGGCGGGATGTTGAACGTGTAAGGGGACACATTGCCTGGGCGGAGGGGGGGAAGGGGCGTTGAAAGGAGGGAGGAAGGGGGCCCAAGCAGGGGGGATGAGGTAGGATTGGTGCGCGACTGTGTCCACGTGGGCGGGTTGTTGAACGTGTATGGGGACACGTTGCCTGGGAGAAAAGGTGGGGGCGGGAGGGCAAGCAGGGTCGGGGGATGGATGGTGGCGATGCAACACTGTGTCCACGTGGGTGGGATGTTGAACGTGTATGGGGACACGTTGCCTGGGAAGAGGGGGGAAACGGGGTCAAGGAGAACGGGAAAGGTCTGATTGGCGTAAAAGCGACGGTAAAAAGGAGGAGGCGGACACGCTGCGCGAGAGCAGAGGAAGGGGGACCAACGGACAAGTGGGGAGCCATGGGGTATTAGGAGCGGTGGTGGAAGGGAGGAAGGGGGATGTCAAACGTGTAAGGGGGCACGGTGGCTGGAAAAGGGGGGGGTGGGGGAATGGGGAAGGGGGCGGGGTGGGGTGAAGAGGGAAACGGGGGCGGAAGGGGGGGTAGGAGAAGGGGAGGGGTAAGCTGGTGGGTGGCGGTAATTGATGTCTTGAGGCGAGCGAAAGCGTGAGTTGAGACAGGAGATGCATGGCACGTGCCACGTGGGGTGTGGGTGGGCCCCAACGGACAGGTGTATGAGAGTTTGCTTGAAGGGACGAAGGCGGCTGTGGGGAGGACGGGGAGAGAGAGGGAAGGAGGGGGGCTGGGCGGGGGAGTAGGGGGTAGGTCGCTGCAAAAATTGAATTGGTTCCACCGTCCACGTGGAGGGATGTCGCTTGGCGCGAGCCAGAATGAGCGACAACAATAGGGAGGGACGGTGAGAAGTGTGGTGTGCGCGCGAATGTGTGTGCCGGAAGGGTTATGTGGAAGTGTGGTGTGCGCGGTTAGAGAATGGCCAAGACGAATAGAATGTGAAGGGGGCATGGTAATGACTACTCGCGTGCTTTAACGGCGTAATCGTGGAGACGGGAGCAGAGCGGATAGCGGAAAGTGGGAAAAGAAACATGAAGATAATTGCATTCTCCTCCGACTGATATTTTCAGGTCGCTCCATCATTTCTGAGGCATTTCAACCACAAGACGTAACAAGTTTTATGTTTTGTTTCTTTCGTTATCTTCCATGAAGACCGGCCGAATTCCTTTCCTTTCATTGTTGTTGTAAGGTAGGTGGGAGGGAACTTTGCACGACAGAATTAACGCTACCGAATAAAGAAAAAACAGAACAAGAGAAGGAAAGGAACAGGCGTTAACACGTAACATTCTTACCTGCTCTAAGAGCAGGCGTGTCCTTCATTCCCGGAGTGAACACGACAAACTCGCCATCCTCAGATTTCGGCAGGAACGCCCCGACCTGCTTCGGAACCGTTATAGCGGACGCTTCACTAACGGGTACCATGGGAGAAAGCGCCACGGCAGCCATTGACAGCAGGACGCTCCGGCGGTCCAGCTGCGAGTCGACGTCATCGTCGCGGGATGCTGAGCTGGCAGCGGCGCGGGTGAGACGACGTGGCGAGATGTTTACGGCGGAAGGCTGGTTGGTGACGGCTTGTGAGACGAAATTGTGTTGGAGAGCGAGAGACGGGTTGGAGATGGACGAAAGGGAAGCTTGAAGAGCCGCCATGGCAAATAATTACCAGGAATGACAAGCAGGAAAGATACTAGCAGCAGGTGAGGTGCTCGCAGAAACAGAAGTGCTAGCAGGAGAGTAGCTAGCGGCACGGGCTGATTCAAGGCCTGCGAACTACTGAACAGTATTTAGCTAGTTCAGAACATAAAGCAGGACCAGGTGAGCGGCGTCACAGCAAGCTTGAAGCAGGTAGTTCCTGCCGACAAAAATATGTATTTTGAAGCCTGGTTCTGGCCGACAGACATTCATTCAGGGCAAAAGCATCTGGCAGTCAGCCATGGATGGCATGCCTACCTAGCTGCATGGATCTTACCGTTGACGAGCTAACGAAGCAATGGTTACAAGTTTGCGAAACGTCATCAAGAATACGTCATCCTGTCAAGCCATGGGGTCCGGGAGGTGACGAACGAAGAACCGTTTGCAATGTGACGAACCTCGCGAAACATTGTAACGAGCAGCGTTACGCCTAGGACGGCGTCGCGAGATGTGGCAGAACAACGTCTCTGGTCGAATCACAAAAGGATTTCGGTGCTGGCGTGGCAAGCAGGCGACGTGTCCATGTAGTGGCCTGAAACTGGACCTTGCTGACGTGTAATCCAGAAGGTCGACAAGATTCCAGAGCAATTACGTGCTGGATAGAGCAGCGGTGGGGTCAAGGTCGGGGAGAGCTTACTCGCATCTACATGGAATGGAACATACGGTATGCTAATTTTTTTTATTTACTGTTATTTCCAATACAAGTACAAAGGCCATACACCGAAACTCCCAGCCCAGCCCAACCCAGCCTACGGGCTACAGCTGACCCCCTCAATGTTTCTCTCTGACCCACTAGCTCTGGAATGTCAGAAGGAGCCCAACAAGGCAGACACAGGATCCTATCCTAAGGTCTTCAGCTCTCATCAGCAGAGCCACAAGGTGGTGCTACGGACGCAGTAAAGCCATCGCAAATGCTACACTGGCCAGCACAGGCAAGGCCCCGCAATAAGATATTGGAACCCACATTGTTGCCTCACTAGGCGAGGGTTCCAGAAAGGCTCCGAATGGGTGTTGGATCGGATCCTGAGGCAGCCAGCATAGGCAGCATGGTGGAGTTGCCATGAAGCAGAACGCTGGTGGCGCTCCATATTCACAACTGGTGAATGGAATGGTCGTCGTGGAAACCCGAGCCTTGCCCAGCCCAGCTCGTACGGAAACCTGAAGGTTGGATTACCCATGTTGGGCTGAAACCCAAACACAGGGATTAGCAGACCGAGCTGGCCTGGCAGGCGTCAGATCAGATTAACAGGGATCAGCTGGCTACCCTTCCTTTGCTGATGTCATCATGCCGGACCCGACTCAATAGGGTTCCGCGGGTCGCCATTGCCTTAGGATGACCAGGAAGGAAGGAAATGTAGATGTCATCGTGACTGGGACAGAAAGGTTTCCCGCATCCAGTTTCGCGTCATTTTTTCAGGATGAGCAGGAAGGTACAGTTGATGTCATTGTCACCGCCCCGCACGTCTTCACAAATGGAGGGCCTGCCTTGCACACCCGCATCACCACAGGCCCCTGAACCACCTTCCCCATGAAATTCGGAAACTGGAATTTGTACTGCCGCTGACAGCCCCGCCCAGAACGTCCTTTACTCAATCGAATGTAACGCTTGTTTTTATTTTTAACCACTGTAACATATTTCGATGTTGGGGGTGTAGGGCAGGATTTTCCGAGCGGAATCAGTACAGCGGCGACGTACGGTCCGGTTTTGCACCAGGGAGTAAAGGTTGGAAATTTCGCCATGCCGGATTGCGCCGCGCTCCGCACCTGCCGCTGCGCGGAGCTGGCGCTCTGGCTGGCAGCTTTCTGCGCCGAATTTGCGCTCCGAGCCGCGCTTTTCGAAGCCGAGCTGGCGCTTTTACCCGTGTTCCGTTTCGCAGAATTGACGCTCTTGCTGGCGCTCTTTCCAGCTGACGCCGCGCTCTTCTGCATGTTCTGCTGTGCTGTCATGAGGTTCCGGCTGGCGTCAGCCTGGAGGTGTTGAACGGCGCGATTGAGGAGCTCGCCGAGCATGCGACGCATGCGACCAGTGAACGACATTTCGGAGACGGCTGAGTCTCGTGGCTCTTCGGAACCGAGGTTGAAGCGACTAGCTAGCACGCGACCAGGCGCCGACGTGGTTGTTGAGTTCCCGCCGCTGCTGCTGTTGTTGCTGCCGCCGCTGCCAGTGGTGCTGTTGCTGCTACTGCTGGTGCTGTTGTCGCCACTGCCAGTGGTGCTGTTGCTGCTCCCTCCAATCCCACCACCGCCCGCAGTACCATTGCTTGACGAACCACCGCTGCTACCACCACCGTTACTAACACCGTTGGTACTGTTTCCCCCACTGCCACTGCCACCCCCGCCGGAACCAGCATCCGTGGAATTCCCACCGTTATTAGCACCAGACGTGCTGTTCCCGGACGTGCTATTACCGGTGGTGGGCGGTGGTTGATCAACAGGCGGGTAGCTAGGAGGCGGAGGAGGGGAGGGGTAGTTAGGAGGCGGAGAGGGGGACGGCGGAGAGGGGGACGGCGGAGAGGGGGAGGGGGAAGGGCAGGGGGACGGCGGCGGGCGCGGCGAGGGGGACGGCGGTATTTGAGACGGCTGGACCGCCGCGTCGTAGACGAACGTCACCGTGCGGCCGGCATCTGCTGTCTGGATCTTGACGGTTGCTCGCAGCAGCGTCTGCGGCGACGAGATTGCGGGGTAGAGGCGTTGGGGAGGGAGGAAGTAGAGAATAAAATCAATGAACACGAGTAGGGCTGACACGTGTAGGGTTAATGACCCTCGGCAATTCAAACCGTTCCGTTTTCCCCATCCCCACCAATCCCTTCCTCCTGTCCCGCATTCCCGCTCTTCCGCTCTCATCCCAATACCCTGTAACCCTTCGCGTGCCTCGCCGACTGGTAACATCGCGACGGCTCCTGAGTCGCCTTTTTCCGCCCACAAAGTAAATGCTCCCCAAAACCTTTCCCCATCTCCCATCGCCCCCAGTCCCTTCCTCTCCCTTTCTGCACCCCCCGGTTTCGCTCTCATTAAATCCCACTGTAACGTACCTCGCCGACTGGTAACATCGCGATGGCGATCTGCGTCGCCATTTTCGTCCCCGCGAAGATAAGACGAAATGGCGACAGCGGGCCAGCCCAACCCCTCCTGCCGCCGCCGCGATGGTCATGATGATCTCGAAAGCCTGTAGTACTAGCAGCCGGCCCCGACGGATTAGCAACACCATTAGTAGCACCATTGCTCGTGCCGCAGGGGTTACTGCTCTGCTGCTGCTGACTCGCAGCGTTCCCCGCCAGATGCGCTCCGGCGGAAATCAGAAGGTTCGCGGTGTTCTCCCATCCGAGCCGCCGTCTCGAAGGCGTTTCTAGACTTTCCGCGAATCCCGTCGGGTCTAGACCGAAGGCCGGGTGTTCTACTAGCTGGTCCGCAGACACGGCTTGAATTGACGTGGAAAGGAGGAGAACCGAGAGTGAAATGACGGTGATGAAACTCCCATGTCTCGAAGGCCGCCGCAAACCCATGGCTCCGAAACAAGCAGCTATACTATTAGCACGAGTAGCTATTCTGTTACGAGAACTAGTGTCAACCATTCGCGACATTTTAAGAATCCGGAAGTCACTCGGGTCGCGACTTGCCGGAGAGACTGCGTCTAACCAAACTACTACTTTCCTCTGCTCATATATTAGTCCAGTTCTCTAGACCTTAGACCGTCTGACGTACAACTACCTAGGGTCAATCGACCGTGTTGCCGGGGTAGGGTAGGCACGGTGGGTCGGATAAGTACGTGAGTTGAAGGTAACAAAACCTCTCTGCTCGAAAGTTGGTGCTTCGAATGTTACCAGGAAGAGGCGCCGGGTGAAAAGCTTGAGTCTATGAACGTCTTGCTTTTCGTTATGGAGCTATCCGCGCAAGCGATTACCTTTCTGGCTAACTCCGCACGGCAGAGAACTCCTTTGAAAGAGCTTTCAGCGGAAATAACCATGAATCCATGGTAGTGGTTGGTGGTCTCGATGGACTTGTGTTGAACATAGAGGGCAAGCAGCAGCCAATTTACGGGAGGAAGGACGTCGCTAGTTGGGTGCTGTAGATCACAGCGAAAGGGTGTGGGGGACGTGTGAAGCGTGTGCGAAGACTGGCGAAATAAGCGTGCACGAGACGCCGACAAACTCTGGCGAAAAAAAACAGTTCAGAGGAAAGAGAGTTGGGGGGAGAGGTGACATTCCCAGCAGGCTGGAAAACGCGGAGAATGGCGGGTGGGTGGATGAGAGGAACGAGCAAATCTGCTGCAAATCTGAACTGTTTGTTCGGGGGAGGGGGAGAGGAGAGGAAAGATTCGGTTCCGGGACTCGCTGCAATGTTACAATATGCTTTCTCGCACATCACCCATCTACTGTCGCCAAATCAAGCAGATGCGTCTCGCCTGCGACATACTGACCGTAGATACCTGTACTACGATCCATCCAGCCGTCCGTGCATTGGCTTTGGGGCAGCAAAGCGAACCAGCCCTTACTTGCCATGGCCCAAAAGGGAGTGGCAGGCGGTTCCCCTCGACTGCTTTGACTGACCAGTGACCAGACGACGTCTTTGCCCAGTATTTGCCCATCACCACCCCACCTCAAGGATTGGTCCAACAGGTTTCAGGGTTCTCGCTCGCAAGCATAGACTTCCCTCGGTCAGCCTTTCGGGCAGGCGAAATGCATAATGCCCCCCACCGACCCAGTCTTGTAGTCAAGAGAGAAAGTCCATTTGAGAAACGAAAAATGTCGGCCGGTTTTCCACAGTAACGACGATTACCATGAACCGTTCGATGCTGTCGCTGCCATCGAGCGTGAAGCTACCCCACACGATCTGGTCGGCTTGGCTGTTTTTCCAACCATTTCAGCCTTCTCTACAGTTTTCGTTGTCGTGGCCCCGCCGTCATTTGAGAATTTGGGGAGGGGACCATCTGGGACATGGTCAGAAACAGCTACAGTATC